CCCCCCCCCCCCCCCCCCCCCCCCCCCCCCCCCGGCCTGTGAGGGGCTAAAGCTTGTGTAAGAGAACGATCCCAGCTCTTGTCATTGGGAATAATGGGTATTGGGATTACCTCTTTAATCACAACAAAGATTAACAGATGGTATGAGAACAGTTATTAGCAAACATCTTGCACTCATCAAATCAATAAGATGATTTGTAATCAGGCTGTCGGTGCAAGTGAAAAGGGAGCCGGGGCCGTTCCCAGTGAAAGATCCTGGCAATCAGAGGCTACTGTGTAGCAATTACCTCTCCACAAAATAGGTGCTCTTCCTCCACTGGCTGGCAGTCCTCCAGAACACACGGCAGACTGATAGCAACATAGGGCATTAACACGGCAAAACACAAAACACTGCGTTGGGTAACCTTGTGTTTGATCAGGTGTGAGCTTGCTCCGTGATTTCATTTCACTTTGTGCCTTTTAATTTGGTGGATCTTGCCGCCTACTTGAGGGGGGGGGGGAGAATCTAAATGTTTACACATGCTGTCTCTACACTACAAAAGAGCGTATAGCTCATTAGCAGGTTACCATAAATAAGTCAGTGTAGGGACAAAGAGGGGAGAGCGCATACAGAGACTGCGCAAATATTTCTCCGTGGAGACGGAGACAGAGAGAGAGAGAGAGAGAGAGAGAGGAAAGCTGAAGGACATGCTGGTGCATCCACTATTGTAAGTGGAGTAATGTGTAATAGCCAAAGCTAACCCCCCCCTAGAAATATAGCCATTATTCTTCCAACAATAACTTCACTTCTTTCTGCCAATGCACACAAAAGCCTTCTCTGTGTTTTTGAGTGATCCTGCATGCAGCATTCCATACTGCAAAATTGTCCCGAAAATTTTTCATTTCAGTTTCATTTGAAATACGTGTCTTTTCTTATGTTTTCTAACTGTGTGATTATATTTCATATTGTGCTAGATTTAAAAAAAAATTGTCAAAAACAGTAATTCCCGGCCTACGAAACATGATCATGCACAACCTGGTCTCCAAATTGTATCATTGATTCCACATTTTTGTTTAATTCAGGGTCTCTAAAACGATGCTGCTTTTTTTTATACCACCTCAGCTTCACGTACCCGACTAAAGGTATCACTTTAACTCTAATTGCGTCTCATAAAGCTTACAGGCCTTTTGCAATCGACCTCACTTGTTCGCATTGTGTGCATCTTTGTAGCGGGAACAGCGAGATCAAACTGACGCTCTGGAAGATAGTGTTGACTGAAAAAGGGAAGCCGTCATTTCGGGAGCAAACGCAGAAACACGCGTGTCTGACCTTAGAGATGTTGCATTTGTAAAAACTTGGCTGTCTTTAAATATCCGAGTAACCTTGTGAACATCGTGGTCTTGGTCTTTTGTTTCCCGTCTTCTCTCTCGTTTTGGATGCCATCGAGCACACGCACGCGCAACTTCCAATGGCAGCCGAAACGCTACAATGGCCATGCATTCATCAGCAGGCTAACTTTCACTAGCTCTGAATGATAATGCTACATATCTATCTGTACCCCCTCTCTCTCAGACACACACACACCTCTACACTGTCAGTAAAACAGTGTGGATATGCACTTACCAGGATTAAGCAAGCCAAATGGTGCCAAAACAAGGACACTACGAAGTAACTGATGCTGTTTAAAAATTCAAAGGCCTCTATTGAACAGACAATGTGGCACACATATCACTGGGCCACAGATCCCAGCAGCCCACTGGTCTGGCTGCTGGCTGCTCTCATGCACATTGACCCCCCCCCCCCTCCAATCCACCAATACATCAGGAGTGCTGGATCACCATGCAAATACAGGGAAGGTTCACTGACTCGCAGTTACACTGACAGATCATCATGCAGTCCAAATTCGAAAACTGCTCCGTAAAGCACATTTTACCTGTGCTTAACTGTCGCATAACTGCCGACAGAGACACACAGGCACCTCTCCCCTCCCACACACACACACACACACACACACACACAGTCACTTGTCGAGTGGCTAATATCTTCCCAAGGTCAAACCTGACAAGGAATTCCAATGAGATTAAGTGTCATCAGTGTGACTTTAGCCCTGTTCTGCTCATTGTTCTTGGAAATGGCATTAGAGCCACAGATGACCAAAGGCCTTTGGAGCACTAAAACCTCTTCCCGTCCTGTGAGGGCCAAATTGATATGTGAGATATTTGATACAGGGCCTCCAATTCAAACATCCACATGGAGTAATGTTCTTGCGTATATATATATATATATATATATACTGTATATATATGTATATATATCTGTATCTAGGATGGTTAGGCCCATGTTTGTTGCTATGCAAGTATCCAGGTTTTATTAAATATCAGCTGACAGTGTTATTCACTCCTAAATGTGACAGAATCTTCAGTTGTTTCAAATGTCGCTCATCAGTTCATTCATTATTTATTAGCTGGTAACATTACAACAATTTCAGCATTTTGGGATTCTCTTAGGAGATCATGCAGGGTCTGTCTAGTAGGAAAAACAGTAATTGTGGTCTAAATGTTGATGCACTGTACATACATTAAATAAGTTTGTTTCCATACTAACCAGATACCGTGTTAGCTTTAATCACACACAGGTAGATCTCTACATATCTCCCTCCACATATTAGGCAGCGTTTCAGTCTGGCAGATAATCGGAGGGTTTTGTTTGCTGACTCTTGGAGTGAAGCGCCAGCCCCCTGTCGACGCGTCAGCCAGCATTTGGTGCGCTGCCGTTCACACTGAATTTGACACATAGTCTTTTGGTGGCAGCAATGAGCATTTTGTCATCTCCTCTCGAGTGCCAACTCGATGTCCAATTACACCCCGGCTACTAATTTAATTACAGTAGCAGAAGAAATGGGTTGATTCAATTCATTTCAATTAGGCCTGATTGGACCAGTCACATCACATTTTACTCATCTCAGGTAGGGGCGTGCCTGTCACATCTGATCTCGAGCCCGCCCTCGTGTGAGGCAAAGATAAGCAGGTCATGGGTATGATAACTGAAAATGTACGGTCTGGTTCACTGACGTCTGATGTAAAAAGTGTTCGCGGATCACACGGATTCAAATGCCTCCTAATCTCTGACTCTGTGATAACTGTGGGAGTAAAACACTCCACTTTCAGTACAGGATCACAGCCAGTTGCCACTTAGCAGAGCCCCAGCTACAACAGTCATTACTTATGCATGATGTCCACAATTATGTATCAAATTGTGTGTGTGTGTGTGTGTGTGTGTGTGTTTTACATATCCAACTAATGGATGTGCAGCACAGAGCAAAGCTAGAAAACATGTCAGGAAAGAAAAACACACTCTTATATTCATGTCATCCAGCTGCTATAGTTTCACTGAGTGTCTAATAATACAACACTCACACACACACACACACACGTAGACTTAAGAGTGGCTCCCTCCTGAATAGTTTTACCTTTAACACTTTAATGAAAAGACCCTTAATATAAGACCCAACACGAAGAAGTCACCCACGCCCCCATTATATAGAACCCAAAAGTCACTTTAAGAATATTATGGGAGCATTATAATAATAGACTACAAGATAATGAAGAAAAAAGATCACTTTGTTTTACACTTTACTGAAGAAACTACCACAACAACTAACCCATGACACCAATCTTTGTAAAAACAATTCAAGGATCCTATTTTAAATAATGCTTTCTTATATTAAGATAAACCCAAAAGGGAGAATATTATAGGAGTGTTATAATAATACAATTCAAGATAATGAAATTAAAAAGATCACTTCAAATTGACTGAACACACTATAGCCTAAAAAGCAGCATGTGTCACCGTGATCATAAACAATGAAGTATCGGACAAAAAGTTCAATAACACTATATATAACCAATAATTATAGGAATATTACAATGATACGTTAGCACAGAACAGAATACATGATTGTTTCAAACTCACTATCAAGTCCGGTTGACACGATATAAGTCTCTGGAGGAACATTTTATTATTATGTAAATCATAAGGTGGTGCTTGAGACATGAAATCCATGATAAGGAAACTATATTTGGCCTGTTCATCTAAAGGAATCTCACAATGAAGCCAGAGAAAGTATCAACTTCATGACAATGAAGTTCATGTTATATTGACAGCCACAGTATGTTAGTATGATAAAGCTGCAAGCAATGCCAATATCTATAATAATAAATGAGTTACAATCCAGCAGGAATATTTTAGGATAGACACTTGTCATTTAAGGATTCTGTTATATGATCATCCAATGGCAGAAAAAAAAGTAACAAGTCGTCTCTGATTGGTCGCTGAAAGAAGCCTCAGCAGTATGCCATAGGCTGCCATAGGCTGCTACATTAGCCTGCGGTGTGTGTGTGTGTGTGTGTGTGTGTGCGTGCGTGTGTGTAAACGCGTCTTGGCACCAGTTGAGGCGGCGCAAAGACGTCTGATTGGACGCTGACGCAAGGGACGCAGTTTTTCCCAGAACTGCGCCACTTTAGCGGTCGAATCAAATGCTTTACGATCACCGTGTGTGATTAAAACACACCAGGGTCTTACATCCTCGCATTTAAAACATATCTGACCGATAACTTTATGGCTGACGCACTCTGCTTATTGGTACAATCACGAGCGGGGAAAAAAAAGAGACAGAATAAATGTAAGCGTCATTTACCTCTCGGTGTCTTGTCTCGCGGTCCGGCCTCCCCTCACGGTATCCGCAGTGAAAGACAGATAGCCTCGCGGCAGACTGCAGAGTGAGAGAGAGAGAGACAGAGAGAGCGAGAGAGAGAGAGAGAGAGAGAGAGAGAGAGAGAGAGGGAAGGAGAGGAGAGGAGTTCTTACACAAGTCAGCCGCTGCAGTTTCTGAAGCAGAGAGGGCCGGTGGAGAAGCCAAGTGGCCCTTTTCTTACCTTGCGACACAGATCCAGAGGGGGTGAAATGGGTAAAAACGGTTGTTTGGGTGATTACACGTTTTCTCCCACTCCCCCCCC